TTTCATAGTGTGGCAATTTCATCGTGGACACCCTTTATTCCTATTATTCTTCTTTCGCATTATGATCCTGTATGGAGAAGAAATATTTTTTAGTTTATGCCGTAAAGTCAATAGTTTTGCAATATTGATTGTAAGAGGCCATCATGCGATTTAATGGCCCATATTTTGCATAATTTGAATTTCTGTCTGTCGGAAACTACTGAACCGATCGGCGTGAACATTTGTAAGCAGGGTTTTTTGGGGCCGGGAAAGGTTTTTATGATGGTTCGAGACCCCTCCTCCCTCTGTGAGGGGGTCTCCCACACAAATGAAACAGAAAAATTTAGCATACTTTTTTGAATCGGTGCTATAACTCAAGCTAATAATGAATCCCTAGCTGGGCCGGGCTCATGTCACATGATTTTTTTTTCCTTGATTTGTTTTCCGTCGATCTTGTTATCCGTGCTGAGCACCAATGCAACTGACGCCAGGGAAGAAGCTCCCACACCAGGACCTTACCTATCGATCCATCAACTCATGAACCGGGAACAAACGGCTTTACTTCCCTTCCAAAGGCGCGATCAGAGACAGGGTTTTACATTTTCGAAGCTCTTAAATGAACTCAAGTTTTGTTTCTCTCATAAAACGTGTTCAACGCTTTCTTTCTATAACGCCTAGCTAGACTATCAGCAAGAAACTAAAGGTTTTATTTTTAAATTATCAGGGCCGAAGGGTCTTCGATTTCTATGAAACTTCGCCCATAGGTTGAGTTCAAAGAAATATTGACAAAAGTCAATAAAAGAAGATCATGATTGCCAAATTTTTCGGAAAACCTTAGTTGAAGTTTTTTGATTTCTCGGACACCATCTACTTAAAAAAATCATAACTTTTGAACCAAGCATCGCACAGACAAAACTAATGGACAAAAAATTCTTGAAAATTTGTCAAATATTTATAAAAAATACAACTGGAAACAAATTTTGCATGAATGTTTTTACCATCAAATAAAGTCCAAAAGAAAAGCTATGGAAATTATCTTCTTTATATGTTTATAAAAAAACATATTTTCATTTTTAGAAATTTATATGCTTTTTTCGGAGAAAATTTCAAGAAGGTATCTCAAACCTTTTTGAGATATGCCTGAAAAACTGATGACCGGTCTAGCCACAACTTGAATGCTTTGTCCGATTGAAAGTTGTTGGGTTTCATACTTGAATCGAAAGTACCTGATGATGTTCAACTCCGACGACAAACGGTTTCTGGGTAAATGTTTCCTCGAGATCCGACTTGAGCTTGGTTTTTGGTTACATGATTTTCTTTTTTGGTTGTGCTTGCTACGGCAATCAAATGTAAACTAATAAATTGTGTGATCCCTTTCCGCTCATATATCCTCCTATTGAATTTTAGAAACTTCGAAACAAATGTTATTAAGTGATTTGCAACAAAGTATATGATTTGTATTTATCGATTTCAATGATAGTTTGATTTGCTGGTGGACATACGGCAAGTATTGAAATTCTGAACTTTTCTTTCCACAGTAAATCTCGAATAACTTTTTAACGGTTCAAAATGAGGTTAAAGTGTCTTTGGCAAAATTTCCCATACTTCTGTTGCACTTGATTGATAATAGCGCTATGTTTGATACCCACTTTTGATGATTGAATGCAGTGATGTACAACAAAAAATATCATTTTAGAATATTTGAAAAATTGTAACTAACAAATCGGACACAGAATATGCTTTAACAATTTTTTCTCTTATAGTTTTGACCCTTGGGAATCTGCAAAAAATATAAAAGGGTGACATTTCACTGAAATTTAAAGAACTAAAAATATTTATTTGACAATAGCTATGAAAAATGGACTTTTTTCATAAATCTCATCGGGGCGACCTCTAAACAACATTTCCCAGAATTTCCGCTGTACAACAGTTTGTTTGTAACACCCTTAGCTATCATTTTGAGGTTGAGCGCCCAGATTTCCAGGCATTGTGCAATTTTGGGACACCCTAATGCACATATGCTGTTTTATTTTTTCCTTTGGTGTGTTTTTTCCGTCGATCTTGTTTTCCCTGCTGAGCACCAATGCTACCGACGTGCCAGGAAGGCAGCTCCCACACCTGGACCCTACCACCTATCGACCCATCAACTCATGAACCGGGGACCAACGGCTTTACTTCCCATCCGAAGGAAGGCGTGATCAGAGATGTTATGCCTCAGAACATCCCGGCGGCGCTCATCGCAGCTCATAGATCAGCGCGCTAGAGGTCATACCGGGCAACCGGTAACATAAAAAATCGATAGCACACATTTATTTTATTATCAAGTACTTAACTCGAAACAAACCGGATGGAAAATAAATAATCTCTAACAGCCACAAAATAATAAGGTATGATTAACTTTTCTTCCATATAATTTTCATTTTTGCGTGGCTGGCACTTTCATCACCAAATCTGGTAATCTAACATAACATGATTGAACGTGTGTGCGGTATCTATTCTTGTTCGATCACACCTCACTCGCTTGAACAAAAGCCTGGCTCATCGCACCAACCGAACAATAGATCAGGCGTGATTGAGGTCATATGCCGGATAACAAAAAAATGTATGTTTTCTGTCATTTTAAGCCCATAAATTCCCCGGGGGCACCCAGAACATGGTCGGAAGTTTAATTTGGTACAAGGCACTCAATATTGTTATTGATCTTGTTATCGAATTTGGAAGTAATGTGAAGTGTCGCATGGTAGGTTTTATTCCTTCCATGTCAAATTTAGGTCCATGGTCCATATACCATGGATGTTATTCCGGCCATATCTCCGCAACTAATTGACTGATTCCAAAAATATTCGATAGCTCTCAATGGGACTACAATACCTATAGTTTGACGTTAAAGTTTTTCCAAATCGAGTCAGTGATTTCCGAGAAAATGAGCTAATTCGTGCAAAGTGAACTTTTTTAAAAACGTTGTGAAACTCAAATTTATTGATTTTTTTTAATAACAAATTCATAAAAACTGTATAAAAAAGTTTTTTTTTAATGATATTCATAGCTCTAAACAAAGTTTTTAAACAAATATTGGCTAAACTAGCATTTGCAAAAATAGGTCCAACCATCATCATTTTTTAGGTCCAACCAAGATCAGCATAGGTCCAACCAACATCATAATTCTTTGCTGAATAAAAACGTTTCATAAAATCATTTGTTCATAATATTAAACTTTTTATGTTATTATTAGAAACAAGAAAGGTAAATCTTTCCTCTAAGCACGAAATTTTCATAATTATATGTTGAATTCATAAAAAAGACGACATGAATTTTGACGTCGTGTGAAACCAGCCTAAATAGGTCCAACTATCATCAGTTACCCTACCAGATGTATGACTGGACCAACTTGTGGGATCTCTGACTTCGAATGAAAAATGGTCTACGTCTGCTTGTCTAACAACGTCAACAAGAACTCGATGTGGTCAGCGAGATGGTTGTTCTAGTGACTGCCTCCTACCAAGAGGAATACTTGCGAGGTAGCTTTATCAACAAGGAATAATGAAAAACCGCTGTTCCATCACATGACTCAAAATATTCTCGCCTCTAAGGCGCGTTACAAGGCTAAAAATCAACTGGGACAATATCAGTACCAGCTGGAGGCAAAGGATCGACCATCGGAATGGAAGAGAAACTGATAATGCTTATTGAAATTCGCATGGAGGACCAGCGTTATCGATGAAGAGTAGCAAATAAAAACCTGTAAATAATAATAAGGAAATAAATAACCAGTTTGAGGAACCTTTGAAAATAAACAAACCAAACAATCATCCTTTTATTCTGCACCTTTCACTGACTTCAAATAGCACTTTTTAGCAAACATTTCAGCAAGAATTTCCAATTTGGGATAGGTTTACTGTCTATAATAGCACAGCATTATTGTACAGCATTATCCTACTGGGAATCGTAAATTTAAAAGAGCTGGTATCTTGAGGTAACCCACTTGACAAATGTACTACTTCTTGTTATAAATCGGTTTTGAAAATATGAGCAATCATAGTTACAACTGAAATATAAGTTATCAACAACACAAATTTGTTCAACCATGAAATACATGATGTTGATGTTTTTAGTGTTATTAATAAGAATTTTGAACAATCATTTCACTTGTCTATGAGATCTACTAATCACTCTGAAAAGGGTTCAATATTATTGATATATTGCTCAAAATGGTAAGGTACAAAATATGCAAGGAAGGAAGTCAAACTTAGTTTATAGTCTGGAATGTGGTCATTGGAAGACTTAGTAGCGATAAATTGATATCAGCTCATTTTAAGATAACATTTCAGGCAGTGCAATAAACCTTGCAACAAAAGTTGCTTGTTTACTACAGATTTTTGTAAGAAATACCATTGCTGTTCTAGCTAAAAATACCTACAGAGGGTATAAGCAAATGATGCTTCATTCATATGCCATTAACTTTGCTAACACCAAACGAGCAACTTTCTCCTTAATCAATATTTTCCAGTAGTGGTAATTGGCATCATTCAGTGAACAAGCAAACATAACATATATTGTTTATTGATAAGTATTAGCCTGAAACTGTATGATACCTGTACTATTTTTGCATTAGTATAATTTTGTGGCAAGTACAATGATATACTCTATGCCCTATGGATCAAACCCAGCCACCTCAAGCAAGCTCTTGCTTTGTAGCTGTGCCTGTACCGACTGAGCTAAGGGAGGCCCGCTCTATTGCTGTTACTGTATTTCGATCCCGGCGATTTGATATGAATTTCCAATCAACACGTCTTTCCTATAACTCAAATATTAATTCTTTTACGTACACGTCCCTTCAAACTAATTTCAGTTCGCTTTCTATCATATTGTTAAAAAATCCGATCAAAAACTTAACTCTACAATATGAAGAAGCTTGGAACGTAACACATGATATTCTGCTCAGTAAACAAAATCCGTCGCCACAAGGCCACCTATCTCCTTATTACCTTTGTTACTATCGTAACATAGGTTTAAAATCGGATTTACACGCCTTGCCGTCTGCTCGCCTTCGCTGCGGCAAAAGCATCGATAATGGAATTAAAATCAATCTTCTCGACCTCTTCCCGTTCAACACTCAGCAAAGCAAGGTCGCTCAACCGATCCTGTCCCATGGAGGCTCGAAGATAGTTTAAAATCAATTTTAATTTGCTGAAAGATCTTTCGCAGCTCGCAATCGAAACAGCAATCGTTAATAAGATCTGAATGGCGATTCGAAGATTCGGGAACACGCTCTCATCTCCGTATTGCACGATGAACAGCAGAACATCTTCAGGTCGTGTTAGTTTGACGTTCGTCCTCGTACTGATCATCATTCTGAAGTCCAAAATCTCCTCGTACAGCTGCTCACCATCAACATCACGGTTGTAAGTCTGGCTGAAGTTCTCGCACTTTGTCTTCAAGATGTCCCTGCTGATACCGGTACATAATCCCTCGACGTCGAGAAGAAAGCCAAACTTCGCATCAGTGTCGTGCAAACGAGTGAATCTGTCGTCCATCTCGGTGTGCAGGCGGTCGATCGTCTCCTTCATAGCTCGTTCGATTTCCTGCGTTGTTTTCAATCCAGCATCTTTAGATGTTTCGCCAGCCATTGTCTTCTTTTGTCTTGGTCGCCTTTCCGTCACAACCTCCCACTCTTGACAGAGATTAAGCCCAACCTCCAGAGCTTTACTCACTAGTCTTTCCCTCTCGTTGTAGAAATGATCTCGTAGGCTTTCCAGGTCTAACGCGGCATCGTGGAAGTTCATCGCCGGATCTTGCAACCTTTTTTGGACTCGGTCGATCGGGAGAAGCACGTTGGTCCAAAATCCAAGAAGGGTCAAAAATTCAGGAGTCAACATCCTGTTGTAGAGCTGCCTCGCTTCGCTCCGTGTGTCTGTGGTCTCCGTGGCACCATCCATCATGGCTTGAAGGACTTGGAGTATCTCGTCGAGGTGGTTGTTGATGGGCTTCACCGCTTCCACCCTTGCGCTCCATCTGGTTGTTGACTCCGATTTCACAACTTTAGGTAACAGCAATCTTGAGTTTTTCCCAGCGCTGAGTCGAGGAGGAAAAGAATACGTAGAGAGCTTGAATGGTCCCAAAAAAAAGTCACCATCATAACGTCCTGTTTGGCTGCGTTGACACCAACCAAGTTGAGTGAGTGATTGTCGCAGTTCACGAAAACTGCCAGGTGATTCTTCTCGATGATCCTTTGTTGAACACCACTTTTGTGTCCCGCCATCACAGCAGCGTTGTCGTAGCACTGCGACCGGCAATCCTGGAGGTCCATACCGTCTTTCTTCAACTGGCTCAAAATGGTCCCAACTAAGCTCTCAGCGTCTTTCAGGTTGATCTGAATGAATCCTAGAAAAGATTCTGCAACACGTACCGTTTTCTTTGTAAAATCCACGTCCACATATCTAACTACTTCTGAAACTTGCTCACGGTGTGCTTGATCAGGGGTCGAATCAAACATGATACCAAAATATTTCGCTTGACGGATCGTTTCGAGCATATTTTCGCGAACAGTAGACGCCATCAAATAGATAAACTCGTTCTGTGTGGCTGCCGAGAGGTAAGAAGTCGATCCGGGACGATTTTTGGCATTTTTGAGGTGCGCTTGCATGACAGGGTCGAAGGCGGCGAGAAGTTTCAGGAGTCCAAGAAAATTCCCGACGTTAGAGGCGTCGTCCGACTGGAGGGATTCTCGGTGTCCTCGCAGAGCCAGGTTTTGCGTCGCAAGAAACTTGATGCGGTGAATAAGTCGTTCCAGGATGTCTCGCCATTTTTGTTTCTCCACATCAATCTCTGACTGCAGCTCCACATCGATCAATCCTTTGTTCTCGGCCAAAGTCCGTTCCATTTGTTTCCATTGAGTGATGCATTCACGATGATTCTTCGACATTTCATGAACAGTCATACGCTCAGATGCTTTCCAATGATTGAATCCGCATTCCTGCTCCGAACTCGACTGAGGGTTTGATCGAGAAAAGAGCAAACAGCAGATGCAGAAAGCTGATTGCTTTGCTGGAGAATAAACTAGCCAGGACCGAGTCACCTTCTTCCCGTTCGCCAGTGTCCTTTTGAACCAGGATTTGTTCATCGACCGGTTGTTTGTTGGTGCAAACGGCCCTTCGTCGTTCTGGAAATAAGTGGAACCCAACTGGACTATTTCCACTCTCAGAGAATCAGCAACCTTGACTTTTCCGGCAGCACCGTGGAATTCCAGAAGTCCAATGTCGTGCCTATTGATGACATTTGGAATGACGGGTCTCCTGGGATCTTGAGCAGCGTCGCCAGCATCTCCAACCGTGGAACTGGCAGTGTCCGGTTCAGCGTGATCTTCAGTGGTTTCGGTGGATCTGTCTGATGTTTGGTCTTCCGGCTCCATCTCTGATGCATTAGAGTTCAAAGCAGCCAAACTTGACGACGATGAAAAGGGATCTGTAGGAGCGGGCTTTCCGAAAAAAAACTCTTCAGAAGCTGACTTGACTTTTTGGCTTCCTCTGTCTCCAACTTGCGCCTTTTCCGCCCCTCCGCACCAGACTCCTTTTTCTTTACAAGCGTACGTTTCATCGCAATTTTCTAAAGGGTGATACGGTCAAAATTTGGTCAAGGGAAAACGCGTGTAAATCGGTGAAATCGTTTATTTAAAAAATCAAATTAAATTTCTTTTTCAAGTTCAATTAGTATAAAATTCAGGAAAAATATTCAGTTAGGCTTCCGCTTTTCCAAATCCGAATTGCCGGGCCTTACGCTTGACCCATCAGATTTTGTACAGCCACCTTGTCCACCTTCTTCGCCGCAGAAAGCCAGTTTGCCTTGAACTGCTGCTCGCCCTTAGCAGTTTTTTTGGTCTTCTTTAGGTTCCGCTTGACAATAGCCCAGTATTTCTCAATTGGGCGGAGCTCTGGCGTGCTGGGAGGGTTCTTGTCCTTGGGAACCACCTGCACGTTGTTGGCGGCGTACCACTCCATGGCCTTTTTACCGTAATGGCAAGATGCCAAATCCGGCCAAAACAGTACGGAACAACCGTGTTTCTTCAGGAAAGGCAGCAGACGTTTATTCAAACACTCTTTCACGTAAATTTCTTGGTTGACAGTCCCGGAAGCTATGAACAGATGGCTTGCCAAACCAGATATTTCTTTGCGAACTTTGACAGTTTCATGTGCTTGAAAACATCTGCTACCTTTCCCCTTCCTTTTGCCGTATAAAACTCCTGTCCCGGAAGCTGCTTGTAGTCGGCTTTGACGTAGGTTTCGTCGTCCATTACCACGCAGTCAAACTTCGTCAGCATCGTCGTGTACAGCCTCCGGGATCGCGCTTTGGCCGTCGTATTTTGTTTATCATCGCGATTTGGAGTCACTACCTTCTTGTAAGTCGATAGTCCGGCTCGTTTTTTGGCTCGATGCACGGTTGTAGACGATACACCCAGCTTATTTGCGGCATCTCGGAGAGAGAGGTTAGGATTTCGCTTGAAACTACCGGCAACTCTCTTTGTCGTCTCAGCGGCTTCCGGTTTTCGATTTCCCCCCGATCCAGACTTCCTGGCTGTCGACAAACGTTCCCCAAACACTTTAATTACATTTGTAACGGTTGATTTGGCAACTTTTAGCGATTTTGCCAACTTTGCGTGCGAGTAGCTCGGATTTTCGCGATGCGCGAGCAAAATTTTGATACGCTGCTTTTCTTGCTTGGACGGCATTTTGACAACTGAAGAGTGAATTCCAAAATCAAAATAGGAGCAACATTCTACACACACACACCTTCAAAATGAGGGGTGTTCAGGTTTTTTAAATGCAAAATTGAAAGAAATACGTCAAGTTGATATTGACCAAATTTTGACCGTATCACCCTTTATACGCTCTATAATATGCATATGTTTTTGATTAGACGAATAATTTTCAAACCTGACATTCACGAACTACGACCCTTATTATTCTTACCTCACATTTAACTAAGTTTTAGGTTGACTAAGAGTTATTGGCGTTCTTGTCGAGTGCAGATGACAATCTGAAGCAAAAGTAACAGCGTACATTCCCTTTAATTGAAAAATTGGAAAATTCTGTAATCTGTATTAAAATATTGAAAAAAAAATCTATTATTACAGATAAATCTGTATATGTGGCATCATTGAAACGTACTCATATTTTCAAAAAAATCTTCAATTAGGCTACACTGAGGCAAGTTTGTTGAATTGCCGGTTTCGGTACATACGGGTGATTTTGATTTCCAAGAAAGTTGATGTTTTCTTAGCATAATGCGATGATGCTTTATCCGACTAAAACAAGTAGTTTGAACACGTTAGATTATGGTACTCTTCGTGGTTGATAGGCAAACCACTAGGCTTGAACCATGGCTTAAAAATTCCTTTCTCCAATAAGGCGATATACAGCACCATTTTCTGTTCAAACTTCTGTTTAAAATTCAATCTTACATTTAGAGATGTTTTATCTGAATAATATCGATCATATCCAGGAATGTGAGATTTTGAGAGAGGAAAGTTACTTTCATCATCCAAAACGAGACATTTTCCTGAGCAATTTCTTGGGTTTTCACGTTCGAAATTTGTTGATCAGTGTATTCTGGAGCTCTTGATTTCTTTCGACAAACTATTCCTATCCTTTTCAACATGGGGTAGGGGTGCGTGAACTTCAATTTTTTAACGGCGTTCCGCTGACTTATCGAATGTTTGTTTTTGAACGTATTGTGTATCGTTTGAAATCCTTTTCCGTTCATTATTTTGGCTGGTTTTCCACTACACTTCCGAACTGTTGTCAAAGATGCCAGAATACGATAAACAGTAGCAATTTGTACATTCACTGATTTAAAATGATCCACCGTAAACTTTTTCGCACGATTTTCTAGTGTTTTGTCCAATGATAATACGGAAAATTGGACTGATTGATTATAAAACTTTATTGGTTCGTCAAATATTGTTGCAATATAATAAGATTGTAGGGCTATAGCCTTTTTCTCTAAGGAACGCACACATATGCAGCATTGGTTTGTTTACAATCTTTTGCTGCCAGCTGCTCTAACAATTTCAGTCGAAAGAATTGTCAAAAACTGTTTTGAAACGCTTTTACAAAGCTCCAATCTTCTCTAGTGAGAGCGAGTATTGTCGGCAACCAGTTTTTCTTCGGCAACCGTTCCATTTTAACTGCATATAAATCTGCTGTTCTATTATCGGCAACTCGAAATCAGCTACAATTTGTAGTGCGTGTGTTTCATTTCAAGAAAACCTTGCTAGATTGCTTTTTCTCAGTGGTAAAAATATAGTCAAATTGAAGCTGAAAGCATAAAGAATCGTTTGCATGCATTCAGCGAAGCTTTTCGTAAGAAAATCCAGTGAAAATAGTATTTCAATTTGGATTGCCGAAAATAGTCTGGCATGCCGAAGCCGTCATTTCCCCTACTTCATGAAATTTTAATGCTTATTTTCATTTTCTAAAATTGTTGAGTTATAGATTTTCATAATCTCGGATATGAAAAATTTACGAAAATGTGATTGTTTCTTCTTTAAAATTTTGTTGGGACTTGTTTTTTTTTGTATTTGTAGACTTAAAAAAAATCAAGATTTAGGATTTCGAGGTCTTTAAAAAAAATAATTCTTTCGATAGCAAACTTAAGTCTTTCTTCAAGATTCTAAGCTATGAACAAATTATTGCTGAACTTCAAATGAATTCAAAATATATAAACGACGATCCGCAAAAAGATCATATTAAAGAATTTATGCAGATTATTTTAAAGATTTTTGTCAGCCAGAAGCAGATTAAATAGATTTTTTTACGGTAAAAATGCAGATTGAAAATGGAAATAATGTGGCAACACTGCGTCGCCTTCCTATTGGTGCAATGCGTGCTGTTCCACTCATACGTCGTGGCCGACGCTTATCCGTCCGTTGCTCGAAAGCAAATGACGAAGAATACGATTTGGAAAGCGTTTTATTATCGCTGCTTTTCTTCTCCCTTCCTTTCATTTGTGAAATGGTGAGCGATCAACCGAGCATTGAGCTTACTCATCTGAGCACGCGCAATGTGCGGCTTGTTCGATTTGCATTCTAAGGACTGTTCAATTTATAAAACGGACACATTCATTTGACGATATCTTTTTTATTTATCATCCAATTTAAACATGGTTTTATGCATAACAGATTTTTATTACTCTATAACAATTTCAAAATAAAAAATTAACGAAATGCTTTTAATGATAAAACTGACGCACTTTTCCACGAACTCCTCTCATAAGCTTCTTTACAGTTTTCTGTGTAACCTTTCGGCTAGCAGATGACCACATTTTCTTGAACTCGTTGACAGATTGTGCTTCTCTACCATCCTGCCGAAGGTTGCGCTTGATGATTGCCCAGTAACGCTCAACCGTACGCAGTTCTGGACAGTTTGGTGGAGTATCCTCTTTCTCGACGAAGTTGATCTTATACGACTTCATCAGTTTGAGCTTAGCGGAAGCGTAGTGGGCGGATGCAAGGTCAGGCCAGAACAGTTTAGGGATCTTGTGCTGACGATACAGACAGCAAGTCGTTTTTGAATGCATTCTTTGCGATAAATTTCACCGTTAATGGTTCCTGTGTTAAAATACGGCAAACTTGTTTTTACCACATGAACAAATTGCTTGCCATACAAGCACTTTTTTGCAAAACATGTCAATTTTAATGGATTTTTTCTCATGAGGTACCTCCTCCCCAACAATTGCATTAAAAATTGTGGCCCAGGTAGTGTGGTTGTGTCCAGTTTGCAATATGTTTCATCATCCATTAATATGCAACGGTTTCTAGCTTCCTCAAAATTGTATCAAGCTTCCGGCATAGCTCTTTAGCTCGTTTGTGCTGTTCCGCGCTCCGTT